AGAAAAATTATATATATATATATATATATATATATACATATTAATTACTCTATAAATTTGATAACAGTTAAAATACGCTGTTTAATAAATGCTTAATTGTGGTGTAAGTTATGTATGCTTTAATGCTTTATAATTATGTATGATTAGTTTTCAACCTTTTTATTATATTAAATTTTACAAGCTGTAGAGGTTCTTTGAAAATTCATTTTTGAGAGAGAATAACTGCTGTAATTAAATGCATTTTTTTAAAAAAAGGGAAGAACATTTTAAATTGTATCTTTTTAAAAAATATGATGTTTTCTAATATATTTAGTGTTAATAAAATTTTCGTATTATAATTTAATTTTGATATCTTATATATGGCAGACCAACAGTTATAGTAAATAATGTAGGAAACTATTTAAAAAAATAATGTACAATTTTGTTTTTAAAATTTTTTAACAATTTAAAAATAGATGTTTTTTGTGTATTATAGTAATAATAATAGTATTAAAAAAATACTTTGAGTTAAACTTACTAGCAAAGGTTACTTTCTTCAATAATTTAGTGTAATTTCAATGGAAAGGTCCCTACATAAAAATCTGTTTTTCTATCATGAATGTGATATACAGCATGACTATTTTTCAAAAAAATAAATAAAAAATAAAAGGAACAAAAAAAACTTATGTTTAAGAAAATGTTTTTTAATGTTTTAGCCTTAAGTTTTTATTTTAAGTTTGAAGTAATTGTTAGATTTTAATGTAGTTGACTTTAAAATTTATATAATATGTTTATGAATGCTTAAAATTAGCTTACATTGTTTGTAAAGTTTTTATACTGCTTGTAATTTTTGTTGTAAATTTTTCCTGAATTTCGAAAAAAATTATCAAAATATTTTAACGATTCTTTAAATTCAGGATCTAATACATCATTAAACCAATACATCATCATACAACCAATAAGTCGTTACTCGTTATCATTCCATTTATTTAACTACCCCACTACCAGTGTTTAGCAGTTTTGTTGATGTCAATTTTTTTATATTTATCGTTATAAGATTATTGTTAAAATAAATATTTTGATTTTTGCAGATGCGTCCTTAATTTCCTCTCCAAGTCCACCCTTGGGTATTGTATATATTTATTTCGTATAGATTTCTTTGATTTTTGATAGATTTTGCATTAATTCTTTATTTTGAAAATGTAATTTCCAAAGTAATAGTTAATTTGTTTGGGAGGTGACACAATGAAGGATACACTCATGATCTGAAAGAAGTCTTCGAGCTAGTGACTCATAATAAAGTTTTTATGATTTCCTACCAATTTTATTTAACCAAAAAATTTATAGAGTAATGGAATATAAAATTTTTTAAACATTTCAAATAAACAATAAAAAATTTATTAAAATTAAATATACTATTTTTTATTCAACTTATAGAACTACCAAGCTGTCAATCTCTTCTTTGATAACAATATGGAAATAAAAGTTTAAAAAAAATAATACTATAAATAAACAGGTGTATAAATGACCTTAGATCAACATACATAAATAAAGATGCAAAACTATTGCTGCACAAAGCTATTATACACCCAATCCTAACCTATGCATCAAAAACTTGGGACTCTTTAACAGAAAAAAAGTGACTAGCATTGTCATCTATGTAAGAAAAATTTTGCGAACCATTTTTACCAGAATTAAAGTGGACAATTTCTGCAAAAGGAAAATTATAAATACAGAAATTTAAAAAAGTGATATTTAATTTAATAAAATTATTAAGTTATACTGAATTGAATATTCAAGACATATTTGCCAGTTAGATACAACTAGTCCAACACTTCTGATTTTAAAGCATAAACCAATTAGTTGTAGAACAAAAGGACATCCAAAGCTTCCACAGCTGAACTCCTTCTATAGGAATTTCAAATCCGTTAGGTTGTTTAACTGGCATGACCTGGTTACAAAGAATTGTGTTGAGAAATTTTCTGGAAATAGCCAAGGCATGATATGTGCTGTTATCGCAATGAGGATGATTAAATCTCTGCCTCCAAAAATAAATAATCGAACAATATTTCTTTTATATTTTTGCAAGTTTTAACGTTTCTACGACTTTTTAACACTTTCATCGCGGCAGTAGCAAGCCTTTGTCACACCCGTTGCACTTAAGTTTTCCCCCTCAGTAATAAAATTTAAATATCATGCATATTCCTTTAAAACTTGTTTAATTTACTTTAAAAAATAATAATCAATTGCAATCAACAATCATATTCACTAATACAACAATAGTTCACAGTAAGTATTCCTGTAAAACTAGTCATCTTGTCCGTCGCGATGAAAGAGTTAAATCTCGGTTTCTGACGGGTAAAAACATTTTTATAGAGCTCAGGCAAGTTTACATTTCTAATCTTCAGGATAAGGCCTATATAAGTGAGTTTGATCTTATCTCTACTATGCAGTGCTTCTCTTTCGGTCATAGAATATTAAATAAATTAAAAGTAAAGTCTAATAAATTATTATACAAATTCACATTGTTGACAATTGAATTTTTTTTAGCATACTTCATTTTGATTATTATTATTTTTTTATTTGCTATCTTGTATAGTTAGGAATCATATAAATGTGTTTTGATTGTGTATATAGGTAACAAGCTTTAGTTGATTATGTTTTTTATTATATTTTTACAGATGTACAACCTGTTACTTATACAGAACCTGCATTTTGGTGCTCTATCTCATACTATGAGCTAAACACTCGAGTAGGTGAAACTTTTCATGCCTCTCAACCATCTTTAACAGTTGATGGATTCACAGATCCTTCAAGTTCCGAACGGTTTTGCCTGGGTCTTTTATCAAATGTCAATAGAAATAGTGTTGTTGAACAAACTAGAAGACACATTGGTAATTTATTTTACTCTTACTTGTTTTATAGAAATTTGCTTCTAAATAATCGCTATTTTATTGATACTTTTTAAAACGAAATACTTTTGATAAACTATTTGGTTATTATAAAGTTTCTATATTAAATTAAGTTTGCTGAAAAGGAAATTTATTTTTTTCTTTTCTTTTTTATTATTTATTTTGTAAACTTTTGTCATCTTTCTGGCAAGTGCTGTGCTACTAGAACTTCAATTCATTATCAAGAAAAAAAATGAGCTAAGAGTGAATTAATTGCTGTAATATAATAAACACTGAAAGTTAAATTATCTAAAGAATTTTGAAAGGTTCAAATACAAACACAATAGCTTGGATCCAAAAACACTCTACAAGACATTGTAAATTGGCTCTTCCCTTATGACATTTTGCAAAACAAGCTTTTTTTTTCAAGAGCATGTATTCCCAAAATGAATATTACATAACTTTTATTACTTCACAAACAAGCTAACTCATAAACTAAACATGGCCTAATATAAATGAAACACCCTTCATAAAGTGGAGCTGTAAGAAAGTAATGAACTATGAATGATGAGCAGTTTTAGATTAATATATATAAATATCAAAGTACCAATTGTAAAATAAAACTTATGCAGTGTACTTATAAATTTAAATAAATGCAAACGAATGAGAGCAAAAGGGGCAAAAGATTGTGTCTTTTCCTTGCACACGTTGGGAAGTACCACAAAAATGTAAACAAAGATAAAAAATAATGCAATTGAAGTATAATTTTGAGGCAGCAGAGGATTGACATAATTTGAAGCAATGAATCCACAATCATTGATATAATTGGAAACAGTCAATCCATAGACAGAAACAAGAGAAAATGCAAGCAAAATAATGCATGCCATGATCAAAGCAAGTATTCATTGCTAAAAAAGATTCTAAACATGGCAAAAAAGATTCTAAGCACATTTCATTAAAAAATTTCTTAAAGTAAAGCAATTTTATCATGCAACATGTACTGTAAAACCATCAGAATGTGAATTTATATGCAGTAAGAGAGTCAAAAGCTGCAGTTTTGAAATATATTAAAGGATTCAATACCTATGTGTAGATGCATGAAAGGAAGGGATAAAATTAGATTGGATGTTGACCTTGATGACAGATAATGTTAAATATTTTCATTTCCTAATAAAATAAAAAAGCTTACAATTTTTTTTTAAATAATCAGATTTTAACGACTTTATAACAATTTGTGATTGTTAGAAGTGATGTTTGTAACTTCATTAATATTTACCTATAACATTACTTAAAAAACACAATTTTTCTGAATTAGCGTAACTTTTTTTTCAAATGTGTATATTCAGCTTACTAGAGATAGGGCTGTACTCCAAATTAAATAAAATTTTACTCATAGCCCTATGGTAGCTAGGTTACAAGTTTGGATTTTGTAATATTGTTTTTCTAATTTTTATTCCAGATTCCAATGGTAAATGGGTTCAGTGAAAATACCTCAGAGATATCATTGCACCATTGAGGTGAAAAATTTTGTCTTGCTCTGTCTCTTATACGTTGTATTGTGCGGGCATGACATGAACGTCCCATTTCGTTTGTCTTTTTTTGTTTTTTTTTCTTCAAATAAAGTGTTGATGACAATTTTTTGTTATTGTTTATTTCTGATTCAGTTTTTATGCTCTTTATCTAAAAACTTTCTTCTGATTTTTTGAGAAGTGAGTATTCCATAAAAAAATATTCCCTTTGGGAAAAGTAATATTTTCTGTGGTAGCAAATCTTTTTTGGAAGATGTCATAGTTTGAAAGATGAAGACAAATATGCTATATCTGAAAGATATTCATACTTTTGGAGAAACATCATGGTGAACAATTTTGTTGTACTGTGTGAGCGTGATGTAAAGTGTAATTTACTTTGTTGTTATCTATTTTTTAAAATTGCTCATTTTACTCGTATAATTACATCTTTTTCAATATTTTTGTTATATTTATACTCTAAAGCTGATGGTTCTATCATGCACAATCCCATTTGATTTTTTAGTCATATTTTTAGTTTAAAAAAAATGGAGATTACTTAGTAAAAAAAATCTTCAAATAGCACTGAATGTTTTTTCTTATATATAAATAATTTTAATGTATAAAATGAAATTCTAAAGGCCTGAATTGAATAGTTCAAAATCAGTGCTTCGTTAAAGTAAATTGTTTTTTTTCTTGTATGTTTTGTGCAAGCATGATGTAATTTTTTTTGGGGGTGTATGTGTTTTTACAAAATAGCATATATCGTCACTACAACTTAAGTGCTATTGATTCTTATTCATGGTGTGACTACAATACTGCCTGCTTTATTTTCTAAAGTTAAAAGCCAGGTCTAAGTTAATTCTGCTTTGGAAATTTTTTTATCAACAGAAATAAAAAGAAATATTTTTAATATAACTGTAAATAGTGTTTGCAGATAGAAAAATGATTTTATGAAAGTGTGCATGAGTAAAATAACTGCAAACATCTCAAAAATCGATATTTTGTTGGTCATATACTTTTGGTAAATATTATTGTTTACATTTCTTTTGTCTTAATTTTTCTTTTTAAGAAATTCTTAACGTAAATAGAAAAAGCTGTCAGAACTTTCAAAAAAAAATTTTTTTTTTTTAAAAAAACTGTTGTCCACGCAATATTAAATTTCTAATTTGGAATTAAAAAGAGTAAGCTCCATAAATAACATGAAATTTCTGATGTTAAGCGTGTATTAAATAAGAGATAGTAAATAAATTTCATACTTTTGATTGATAAAAAAGATGTATATGCTAATTTGTTTATATACACTAATTGTTTATATAGTATTAAATGTAAATTACTAGAAATTATTAAATTATACTACCATTCATTCTATCTTATATCTCTCAAAGTCGGAAATTATTTTGAATCAATACTGTGTCATTTTAAATGCGTTTCAAACTAGATGAGAGCTAAAAAATTTTGGGCTAATTGATGTTTACATTTGATTAAAAATTATTTGTTTCAAATGTAAAACTTGTCCAATTTTGATCTCAAAACGTTTCTTTTGTATCAAAATCTAAAACAATATTTTTTGTTGGTTTATAGTTTCAATTCTGTTTTGTATAATAGCATAAGTGTTTCTCTAAACTAGAATTATTATGTTTTGTTTCAGGACGAGGTGTAAGACTATATTACATAGGTGGTGAGGTATTTGCAGAATGCCTTAGTGACAGTAGTATTTTTGTGCAAAGTCCTAACTGTAACCAAAGATATGGATGGCATCCAGCAACTGTGTGTAAAATACCGCCAGGTGATTATGCATACTCTTATAGAAGTTTTTTAAAAAAGCTAACTTATAAAAATTAAGAGTTAGGTATGTTGAAAAAGAAGTAGGAGACAAAATGCCTTCTGAAAATATTAAGTTCTATCAGAGAAACTTGCTCATTTTATATGATAAAATTAACAAAATAAATATGTTGAACTCTATTATGCTATATCCTTGGAAATGCGTTTTGCTTAGCTCTCAGAATGTCCTATAAATTCTAGCGCTGTTATATTTGCTAAATAGATGTGCTATTCTTGTTCCCTTTTTCAGCAAGGAATAATAACTAACTTCTAAAAAGTAGGAAAATATGATTGTGTGATCAATGCATGTGCGGGGGCAGAGTTATCGACCATGCCAACCGTCATCTATCAAAAGGAACCTCTTGATTGAATCAAGTTAGCATGTCTTATATACCAGTGAATTGATGTTTAATTTTCGTAGTGGTAGTTACACTACAATACTCCCCCATCAGAATTTTATCAAGGATAGAATTCGATACCACTAGTTGCTGTACTTGTGAGAGACCGGGAGAGCTTGGTTGAGTGCTGAATGTGAGAGGTGTATTAACATCACGTCGTAGCGTTCGTTGTTGCATTTTGCAGTCACAAGTAGCAAGTCAACTGTTCAATGTGGACTATCAATTGAAGTAGGCGTTACTATCAAGTTATTTTTGCGTGTTCAAATCACGTCCGGAGGTCACCAATGTTGGGGCGGAGTCATCGACCATGCCAACCGTCATCTATCAAAAGGTACCTCGTGATTAAATCAAGTTAGCATGTCTTATATACCGGTGAATTGATGTTTAATTTTCGTAGTGGTAGTTACGCTACATATGCACTTAGTCATAATTGCTATAAATTGCTCTGAATGAATACCAATCTCTATATTGACTTTTTAATTCTTTTGTAAGCATCTCGTTATTAATCCTTCATATTGTCACCCAGTTGGTGTGGTAGGTTAAGTCTTCACCTAAGCCCTATTTTGATTCCCTCGCTAAAGATTGGGTGTCTAATCAGACTGCACTTTCTCTGACTGTGTCTTAGTGGTTTGGAATCTATTTTAATCTACTGTTCCAGATAGTTTTTGCACCAGATAATTCAAAGGCCATGTGATTATTACCATTTGCCCTCTGATATAAACTGTGGTAGTGTTGTGTTCATACGTGTCAATATTATTTCGATCATCATTAACCAATTAAACATTGAATCCTCGTTTAAAAAAATGAACTAGAAAATAACTTTTATCACAAGCTATTATTTTTTATAAACTATGACTGGACATTTTCCCTTTGTAACGCGTTGGGTTTAATTGGGAGTGTAGAGATATGTTTGATTATGATGCTTTTGGATTAGATTAGGTGACCGGATATATGGAATATACACTCCCTTCAGAATGTTGTATGGATTAAGGATGAATCTCTACTCGTTGCCGATTGCCAAGTGGTGTAGCTCTACTGCAATGTTGATAACTAAATTTTTTTTGAAGAAGTTGATAACAAAATATTTTAATAAATGTAGATGTGTAAAAGAAAGAATCTGAATGGTTTCTGAATTTTCTATTTTATCGCAAAACCAATTTTCTTATTTTGCATCATTTTAAGTGTTAAAAAGCTTACATTGAATTTGTTTGTTGATTTCATAGTCCCAAGCTTGTGAGTCATGTATTGGAATTCTATCACTTTGAGCTGCTATGAAACTATCTAATACTCCAGATTTAGTTTTCTGAAATCTAGTCTAAAGAGTCTACGAATTACTGATTATCTCACTTTATATATATTGTTCTATTCTATGAGTGTGTGTTCTTCTGTGTTCTACAATTTTATGTCAAATTCGGGTTATGAATAAGTATTAATTGTTTTTTACTCATTGTTGACATCCTTTGTTTGTAAACGTAAAGGACTTAACTTCATTCATATATTTATGAAAATAACAAGAGAAACATACGATACGAAATCCAATCCTATATATACAATATAATTTTTCCTGATTGTTCATATTTACGTCCTTCTCAAAATTTAGCACTAATTCATGATATTTTTCAAATTTTTACCCTTTGTGATATTAAGTTTATACATGTCTGTCATGCTGGTCGGAATTAATTTTTATTGAACGAACAAATACATAATATGCAAGATTATGAAGAAAAAGTAAAATTTTTTAATTCTTTTTTAAACTTTAGACATATGTAACACAATGTTTAATTTTATGTGAAAATTATATTTTATAGTTCTCCATCGTGTGGTTGGTATCTTGCAAAGCAGTCTCCAATATAAAGCCCTAGTTCTCAAGAACATGTGTCCCAAAAATAATTAATTTGGCATCTTCCGCCTCTAATTTTTCTGTTTGAATATACCGAACAATCTTTACTCTTCACAGTGCCACAATATATACAGTTTGCCTTTAAGCTGTGGGTAACATCTTTGCTGTGGTGACTGAAAGCAGACATAGGGCTAGAACTGTAAAAAGGCGTTGGTGGCTGAGAGTAGACATACGACTGCAAAGACTTAAACTGTCTGAGGTTTTTTCACCTGAGAGATTTCACAACGTCTTCATTAATATTTAATTCATAATTCTAATGATGCAAAATTTAGTTAAAAAAACGTTTAATAAATGTAGCATTTTATTAAACAGCTATTTTTTTCATGATTAGTAGACTCAAATAAAAGATATGACAAATTGATGCAAAATTCTTTAGATGTATTTTTGAATAATTTGATAATTAATAACTTGAAGAGAAGAAGTGAAAAAAGTTAAATTTTTTCTCCCTGCTTCAAAACTATTTTTCCGAATGTTTTAGACCTGTACATGTATCAATTAAAAAAATTAAAATATAAAGTTTGTGAAACACAAAACAATTAAATAATTATCATTTAAATTTGCTGTTTTTTATTTATCGAAATCTCAATTTGAGGAGAATAAAAAACCAAAATTTTAAGCAAAATAATACAAATCTTCCTATCTAAAGCTCTTTGTTCTCATGTAGTTTTATTGTTTTCAATTCATTTTTTTTTTTTTTAGTTTTCTATGAAATGCCATCTAAATGTTATCAAAGAAATAATCTTTTTCCAGTAATCACTAACTTGAGCTCGAGAGTGAAAATTTTTTTTCATGCACTTGGTTTGCTATGAGTAATTGCCACCTCACCCTAAACTCTTTTTTTTCTTCCCACACCTCTGTTTGCAATGCTAATTTTTGTAAAGCGTGCTGTGATTGATTTACTTAAGTCACATACTATTTTCTGATGTGCTTTTATAATTTTCATAAGGCAACATATGTTTACAGTAAAGTTTAGTTTCTTTTTTACTCTTCTTGTCTGCAATCAATAGCACTCTCTAGCATTTAAAAACAAATATGATTTCTTTTTGCAAATTGTATATAAATTACAAATATATTTGATAAATTTCTCAAAAATAATTATACTAAAGCTTACACTTATCACTATTACAAAATAAGTATCTTGACACAAAGTAACGAATGAATTCAATGGAGCATAACAATTTAGATGATTTGAATGTGTTCCAATTTTTGTTCTTGGCATGTTGAACATCTGAAGAAGTTCATATTGTTTGTTTGATGTTCAAGGATAGTAGTAATCAACAATTCTGTATTAAACTCAATGCAGTAATTGATTTTTTTTTTATTCAAAACGTTTCAATTGTGAAAAAAACTACAACAAATAATTAAGATTGCAATTTTCTTTCCATAATTTTGGAAGTAAAGAGATCTTGAAAACTCATCGAAAGGTGATATGGTTAATATTAAAAATTATTACGCACTTATTTTAAAAATAAAACTATAGAAATTATTTAAGGGTTGATTTATAGAGACTATAACTGTGATAATCACCAAAATCGGGAGCAACCAAGGTGCTAGATTTGGCTTCAAATTCAGGAGGCCAACCTTGGATTTTGGGGTGGTTTTTACCATTTTATACACATCACCAAAGCTTTCTTGCTGCTTTGCCCACTCGTGTTGGTGATTACATGGATTAAAAGCAAAATTGTGTTAAATGTGATCAAAAAATCGTCGAAGTTTATGATATTTTAAATACACATTGTGATATAGTGTAGCAAAAATGTGTTACAAAAAAAAATTCGTTACAAAAACTTACAGTGTTACTTTTTTGTAATGTATTAGTTAATTAAGGAAGAAATTTAATGCTTTTTAATTAAGCAGAATATAAACAGTTTTCAGGAAGTTTTCTTTCAGTTTTCGGAAAATGTGACTTTATTTTCGCTAATAAAAACAACAACAAAATTTTTTTTATAGTTTCAGTTTAGTTTTTATATACTGGACTATCAACTTATCAAGTCGTATCATCTCCTAACCAATATTTAAATTTTAGTAATAATAGAAAAAGATAATTATAATCTCTGGCAAACTGCTTTTTAACTATTGATGTTCTGTAAAAATAGCATTTCATGTAGTTTTCATGCTCTTAAATCTTTTTTTTTTTAATTTACAGGTTGTAACTTAAAAATATTTAATAATCAAGAATTTGCTGCATTATTAGCTCAATCTGTTAGCCAAGGCTTTGAAGCAGTTTATCAGTTAACCAGAATGTGCACAATTCGAATGAGCTTTGTTAAAGGATGGGGTGCTGAATATCGGCGACAAACTGTCACATCAACACCATGTTGGATAGAGCTACACTTAAATGGCCCTTTACAATGGTTAGATAGAGTACTGACTCAAATGGGCACACCTCGAATACCTTGCAGCTCTATGTCCTAAGTTGCATCTTTAGTCTTAAATCTGGTGCTGCTCTTTTACTCCCAGTGGGTAGCTATAAACATTGTATGTTGTTGGGCTTTTTTGAGATGATGTAATTTGATAAGGTTTTAAGAATGTTACTATTGTTCATTTCTCATTTTTTTTCATCATTTGCTGTTTCTTATACATGTATATGAACTTGATCATACAGTCATGTAGCTATCATTTAGAGCACCATCTGAAAACAGATACATTTCTGTAAAAATTTCATTGTGGAAACAGGCATGATTATGTAGTTTCGCTTCATGGATTTACTTCTGCTACATTGTTGTTTTGTTTGTAAAATGTGAATGAAAAAAGATATATAAATGTTATGTGATGTAAATGATGACAAATAATTCTCAATTTCATAATCAATTTTCTAAGATGTATGTTTAACTATTATCTCTATATATGTAGTAACTGTAGTGTACACATTGTTTTTGCTATCACATAAAGCAATTTGCAGTGAAAGCAGATCTTTTATTGATGGCTGTTTCAACTCAAAATGTTTGTGTACATTATTGTTGATTTAAAAAAAAAAAAAAAACTAAAATACCCTGTATTTTTTGTATAGAATGAATTTTTCTTCTGGATCTATTGGTACAATAAATTCAAATCAGTCACATAATTTGTAAAACAAGAATAATTTAAAAAAGGAAACGTCAGTTTTTGATAATAAGTAAGTCAAAATAGTCATGTTTATACCTTTTAATTTGCATGGTCTCCCTAATTTCTACATTTGATTTCAAAATTTTAAACATATTTATCATTACGTGTTTTTCTGCATTTAATTAATCATTCTAATCATTTAGTCAACATGATTAGTGAAATGGGTAAATATTGGAGAACATGCAAATTTTCTATAGAATGCTAGTCACTATTTTGTAAATTAATGTAAAATCATTAATTTTGTTTAATATGAATTTAATGTTTGTATATTTTAAATAAAACTGGTAAATGGTTTTCAAGTCATAATTTTAAACTTTTTAACTGTGTTTTCTTCTTTTTTTAAAAATTGGAACTTTGAAATTTTGACTTATTTATGTGTCTCATATTTTATTGCAATGAATTTATTTCCACTGATAACGTCCACTGTTTTGTGAACTCTCTGATCAAGGGAAAACAGGCACTAATTTTCATATAAATTTTAAGAACCAAATTAAATGATACAATATTGTTAAAAATGTGTTGTTTCATATTAATAGCAAGATCAAAACAATGTAGTTGTTCATTCAACTTGACTAAATCAGGGATCATGTTGTTGTTTTTATTTTTTAGTGTGTGTGTTTTTAATTTTTAGTTTATAAAACTGTTTTTAGAAACTTAAAAGTACTTTTGGCATCTTGTAGAAGAATTAGTATCTGCAATTAAAAAAAGTATTCATACTGAAGGCTAAATGGTCTTAATTTTTTTCTCTTTCTTTAAATACGAATCATATAAATTTAAAGCCAGATTTAGAAGGACTCAGAAATTTCCGACGGTATTCATACTGCTTGTTTTTATATAGTTTCTGAAAATTGCTGCCTTTAAGTTCTCTTTCACTTTTCCTTGTTAAGAAACAAAAGTATGCATCACTTCAGAATGTGAGCGTTTTGTATTAAAAAGATTAAAATGAGATATCACTTTCTTCTAATAAAAAAAGTAGAAAAATACATACGGATATGATATGAGCACTTGTATATTTAAATATCTTATTATATTTTCCACAAAATGCATTTTCATTTGTAAAGCTGTTCTATATGATTAAAAAATATACTTAAAAATTAATTATTTTTAATTATAATTAACAGATTCTATGTAACTCATGTATTTATATACAGTCCAACCTCGATGACACAGATTTTTGATATTTCGAGAAGTCTGAATTCCCTGTGCATACACTATAGAAAAAACCTCTTTTATCTAGTTTTATTTTTTGGTGATCCTTGATTTCCCAAAATATTTTTGATCCCCCTCCCCCCGAAAAAAATAATTATATATAGATTCTTTATTTCAGAATAATTTAAAATCTTTTCTGGAATTCCAATTTTTTGAAATTTTCATGTATTATTATATAAATCTTTTCTTGAAACTCTGATGAAAAAGATTTTGTCATGTTTGACCAGAAGTTGTCAGAATCATTCATTTCTAAAGTAGTAGGCATGCATGATGTGTTCATAGATATGAATATCCCTTCTTAAAATGTGAAAGAACTTTCTAATTTAATGAATTTAAAAGAAATTGATACTTAGAAGGATGTAGTTTACTGTAGACATGTTTTGCAGCGTGTGGTGATTGAGAAAAATCAGAAATGTTAAAAGAAGTTATAGCATTGTGAGATGTATTAGAAGAAAAAGATGACGAAACTTGTGAATTTTAGTAAAATGTAAAATCAAATAAAGACCTAAAGATTTTGTCATTGTTTGAAGTAAATACATGTTATTCAGCATTAAAAATGCCAGTACAGTGACAGTTATTATTTTGTCTGAATTGTTAAAAAATATTTAATGTATACGATTTTTTATATCCTGAATTTCCAATGTAGCAAAATTTTTAGTATTTCCCTTTATTATTAAGGTGTTTTGTAATGTTGAGGTCTGACTGTTCATACATATTTATAATAAAGTATATAAGCATTGAAAAAATATGGACTTTCTTGAAAAAACTAATGCGATCACATTAAACGGTGGACATTAAATATTTATGAACTCATGAATACTTTATTCTTAAATCATTTACTTAATTTCATAAAAATTCTTAGATCTTTTAATTTGCATATTTTAAACAAAACTTAAAAAGGTACTCAACTCATAGTTTTATAGTCATCTAATAATTTTTGTTGTCATTATTGTTAAAAATATAAAATATAACTGTTGAATTCATAATCATTTTATTTTCAATAACTTGTTTTTTACTTAATACTCAAATTTTTATACTGATATGATGAATTTATTGATAGTATGTTTTTAGATTTTTTACATCTTTTATTTTTAAAAAATCTACTTTTCTTTCCTGTATAAGAAAGAATGCATGTATATTTTAGAAATGATACTATACTGAGAAAAATACTCAATCTTATTTTACTTTTATTAAGTTTTTGTTGTTCTTTTTATTAATATTGTTAAAATCTTCAATCATATCCTGATTTTAAAAAAATTACAACCAAACTGTTTCTTTAGTAATTATACATTTAATTCTTTAACTTTTTATTAACTTTACTAGGTGAAATATTCAATTTATTAAGACATTATTTTTAACTTGAAATATTATTTATTGAACTTTTCTATGACTAATCAGTGTCTTAAAAAGCTTATGGCTCATTTGTTTTAAACATATAATTTAAAGAAACTTATAAATTTTTTGACTATAGTAATATTTATTACAGGTGTTGACCTACTTTAAAGTCTTTAACATTGATTTGAAATAATGCTGATATTAGTTTTTGAAAGTATAATTAGAAATTTCTCATGCAGGATTACCATATGTATGGTACTTCTTTTTAGACTTTGATTTCAGTAAAAACTCAAATTTAACTTGTACAAATTCCAGGGCTGATTGTGCTCCGGAAAAAATCCGGATTTCCGGAATTTTTGCTAACAGTGATCCGTAAGTTTCCGGAGATTGAAGATACAGACGTTTAAAAAAATCATTGATCACAGAAGTATCCGAAAATCAAATTTTCAGAGGTGGAACTTAAAAACACAGTTTATTTTATTTGTTTGTAAGGGCGAACCGGAAAGATACTTTATAAGCTTATATTCATGATTAATATTAATTTTTTATCAGTAAATAGTTGTTATAATCATAACTCAAGAAAGTAAGACATATTTGTAAATTTTAATTACTTCTCCAGATAGGTATGTGTAAATGGTATATGTATGTGTAAAATTTTAAATATATTTTAAGTAAACTAAGAAATATTGAGGAAAAGGAAGAAAAAAAACCTTGTTTAAATTTTTTTCTGATTTTTCAATTTAAACTGTTTTTTTTTTTTAACTCAAGAAATTTTCCGGAATTTTGACTTGGGCTCACAATCACCCCTGAAATTCCAAAAACAATTTTAAACCAATATCTATTATATTCAATAATTCGTTAGTTTTACTAAAACAATAAAAACATTTTGCTTAATCATGTGCAATTTTTTGTTGGCCTCCTATCCTTCTCTAGGTGAAAGGATTTTTTTTAAAAATATGCTATTAGAATAAAACTTAATTGAAAAAAAAATCCTACTGCAAAGTAATGCTAATACTTTATAAACTGGGCATTGATGCAATGTTAACAAACCACCGGGTATTGTTTTTTTTATGTTCTAAGTATTCTGAAGCATATTAATGTTTAATAAACGCTGTTAGTAATTTAAATATGTGTATACATATTTGAACACCAACAACTGTTTAATATTTTGATACTGATACCTTTAACTAATTGTACATTTAGTTGTGTAAAGTTCTGACGAAGATGCTTACTTGCCCAATCATTAAAATGATTTAATTCTGTAGAGAATTGTGACATAAAACAAAAATCATTTGTTACTTTTTCATTTGTTAATTTTTATCATCATTTGAAAATAATATTGTCCACTGGCTTAGTTAAAAGAATTATTTTATGAGATTTATTTCAAGAATAAAACTGTTCCTCTAATTTAGGTTATAAGACATTTAATGTTTTTTTTTTCTATAAAATTCCACTGCAAATATTTAGTTTGAAAAAATCTCTATAAATAACTTAAAACATAGTAATTATGTATTAATTAATATGTATAAAATACATATTGTATTAAAACTGTTGTGAATTAAGTTTTCTATAACTATGTCATTAAACTGTCTCTAAATATTTATATATTTTTTTTAAATTTGTACTGCAAAGGTTATGATAAGATTTTGTTAATAATTTCTAAAAATTTAATAGTGAAATAGAATTCCTTTGAGACCATGCAGCTGAATTTGTCTTCTGTTGCTCTCTGTTGAAACTAAAAGATTACTTTGCCTTGGATCTTTATTATATCATTACAATTTTTGTAAAACAATATTGTTTTAACAGAATATACTATTGTACTTAAAGAGTTTAAATTCAAAATGGAATTTTTTTGTGAATATTTTTTCTCTTGAATATAGAAGTTATTTACAGTCTTAAAAAGTCTTTAATTTTTAATTTTGTAGTGAACTGATTAATGTTAACTAAAAGAATGGTGAAACTGTAAATTGGCTATGAATTTACTAATTTGTTCAAAGATTGATTTTAATTTCTCTATAACTGTTTCAATATGTATTTTAATACTCTTACCTTTTTGGAGAACACAATTCTTTGTTTACTATGACATAAAAAGTTTATGATATTGGTTGACTCTTATTTCTCGATATTATTCATTCCAACATATATTAAGCTCAAACTACATCAGATATTAAGTATCTGGATGAAGTAAATGTAAAAAAAAAATCTCTTTGGGGGGAAAAAAGGATATTAGTTAATGTTTAAAACATGTCAAAAAGTTTTCTTAATGATATTATACTATTTGAACAAAAATTATTGAATACTTTTGGTTTTTACAATTTCTGGAATATTGAACAGGAACTTTGAATATTCTATGATTGTGCCAGTACTCAAAATATATTTGGTCACAAAGGAATTCAGGTGCCAATGAAAAACAAAAAACCATTTTAGGCACTTATTCTGAATGAAAAATGGTATATAATGTAAATGGTTCAATACACAAAGATTTTATTTTGACTGTATGAAACATAAATTCCTTTTTGAATATGTAGGATTACATTTATTTAAATTCAATAAAAATGTTATAGTTTGATAATGAATACAATTAATGACTTTAAAATTCATGAAGATTATTAACATATAAAGAAACAAAAAAAAAATTATTGGTTTTGATGAATTTCAAAAAATGTGCTATTCATTTGGTACCAAAAAAAGTTGATCGCTAATTACAATATTCATTTTAAAAAGAAATAAAAGTTTAGTCTCCGCGTTTTGAAAACCATGCTTCTTTACATTTATACAAAATTATCTCCCTTAACACTGTAACACTTTTTACTCATTTAGTAAGAAAGAATCTGCCATGTTTCCTACTTTATAAATGAGACTGGTAGCTTAGTCATGCCTTCAATTTTCTCAGACTGGTTCAGCAGACTATGTTAATGGTAAAATTATCAACACTAAAACCAAGTTTATCTATATATAATTTCACAGGAAATCAAAAATTAGTTCACACTATAAGAAGTTAACTTTAACATGTTTAAGTTAACAATTGTGATAATTATAGATTTTCTTAGCTGGATTTTTTTTTCTTAGTGTTTTAAGTTCTCTACATTCAAATATAAAATATTTTCGTACATTTTAAAATGTTTATTTTTTATAATTCTAAGCAGTTCAGCTAGCCTATAAGCTTAAAACAAAAAAGATTACAAATTTTCTCAATTTAAACGAATATTTTTGTAAATAAAGTTTTTATTGCAGGAGACAGCATACCATGTTTTCTCTGGAATATTTAAAAATTGAGATTTTTAATATACATGGAAGGAAGCAACTCTTAACTTATTGACAAATGTGATCTCCCATAAATGAAAGTGCTGTCTCCCTGCAAAGATTTTATATACCAGAACACCAAATTTTTTCAAAAATTTAGATATATATTAGTCAAACTGGTCTTTTAATAGTTATTTAATTTCCTTTTTAGATTAAACTATACATATTTAATCAATTAACTTTTTTTTCTCCAATAATCTGGAATAGTCTGCCTTTGAAAATCAAACCCACGATAAAGTAAATTATCACATTGCATATTCTTCCATCTAACTCTTTGTCATGTCTCGATTGACGGATAGATTTATTGTTTTTTGTTCATAATAAGCATTAGCAACAAATTAGCATTATTATGAAGACTTTAAAATATCTCGAATTAAATTATATAGTAGTTATTGAATTTTCAGACAGCATATTCAAGAGTATTCTTCACTCATATATATATGCCGGGTGATTTAAAACTGGAGGAACAAACTTAAAAAAGAAGGGTAGACTTTGATGGCTTGAAATCATATAGGTGCAATGCAGGGTTGGAATTGCTATTTTAACAAGACAAGTGAATTATTAAAAACTGTCACTGAAAAACCATCTACAGCCACATGCAGAGGTGCTCTCTGAAATCATTAGAAGAAAGCAATGAAATTTTCTGAAAATTCCCAGCTTTCTGGTCAGTCAAATTTCAGATAGCTGGACTTAAACAGTTAATGGGTAAGTACAATATTAAAAAAAATTATGATTGATATTTAATTTTATCTGGCGGCAAGCAAGTAGAAAATAAAACTTCTGCTACTTATATATATATATACTTTA